ATCAACAACCTCAACCTCATCACCCATCCTCATCATCAATCATCATCATCCCCATCGTCCTCACCATTATCTTCAATCATCACCATCCCCATCATGTTTACCATTATCTGTTTCTTTTCTTTTTCTTCTTCATCGTCATCGTCATCACCATGATCATGTTCATTGTCATCAGCATAATCAGTTACATGTGGCTTCAAACATCCAGGGATTGAACCGCCAGTATCTTCAAATCTAGCAGTGAAAAACCAGATGATGGGTATCCAGCATTTTAACCTCCAGTACCCTTAAGCCGCACAATCAGAAACCACGTGATGGACGGTATCCGCATCCACTTCCAGCCAGGTGGCAAACGAGCTGGCCGAACTCTTCGTGGAATGAGTGCATCCATCGGTGAGGGAGCCATGGCCTCAGACGTGCCATGAATCACCAACCGAGAGCAGATTTGTAGGGGAACCTTGGGTTATCCCAACACTGCCTGTGATGGTTGTGAATCTCAACATTGCCGTGTGATTGCTCAAAGTTTTCTGCACATACACGCATGAGTAGTGATCCCAATGATCATGGCGAGACCCCTGAAGATGAATTAAGGGACCTCTTGACATGCCATCGTTCAGCTTTTTGACCTGGTTTAGGAAACCTTTGACACAACTTCCCCATTTTCAAACTTTTGGGGCATACTTGAACGTGTTCCAGGTGTAAGTGATGGGTTATGATGTGACCAGTGTTCGATAAATATGATCAAGGAAACAATTATTATATATGTCATGGTTTCATTCTCATCATTGATGTGGGCATCACAATAACAAACCACCCCTCAATATGGGTTTACTATTGGATGTACATGTACTGGGGATGGTGAACCATGGGTAGTTGATGGGGTGGTTTGTTATTGTGATACCTCCATTACCTGTTTTTTCTTTCTGATTCCTTCGCAGTAAGGCTGCTGAATTTCCTTTCCCTTGGGATAAACGCCCAACTGGTTCACAACCTTCAACGGCCGGTAAGCCAACCAGTGCGTCCAGTGACAAGAAAAGGGAATGCATCACAACAATGGAACCGCTGGCTTTTGATGCGAAACGAAGAACTAGTGCAAGTTTGCCACCATCGCCCCGTTTTCAACAGTTTCTGATTGAGTGTCGGACGGTGGGGTGCATCGAAATGAAAATGGGTGACCTCAATTCTGCAAGTACAGCTGGTGCGATACTTCAACATGCTATTCGAACTTTGGAGCGACTATTTGTAGAACAAGAACCGCTGATTTTTAAGATCGGGTTTTCCCACAACCCCTTGTGGAGATGGACCAACGATGTTTATGGCTACCAACATGCCAGAGAAAAGTGGTCCAACATGGACATCCTGTTTTACTGCAAAGAACCCTATAGCCCCGCTATGCTCGAGGCTGCCTTGGTCGAAAAATTTAAGAGCACCCATTCCGCAGAAAACAATTGTTCATATTTTTTGTGTTTTTTTAAATACCCCTAAACAGCAATCATTTGTTTGTTGTTTGGCAACCTGACAGCTTAGGTAGACAAGGATGTAAAAACGTTAGAGCTGGTGGAGACAGTGTCCAGCCATTGTTGGATGATGACAACAGCAGGTACACAACATACGTTGTCTGGCGATCCTTCAAAACGCCGCCGCCTGTTAGAGCTGTGTCCTTTGCAATGCCTAAGTTTCAGCCTAGGAATGCCAAGACTTAAACCTACATGCGTCTGTTCCATGTACCATATATGGAAACAACTTTAACACCTGGTGCGGCCATGGGAAAAAAGGGACTGCGTCCATTCTGCAACGCATTCTTTATGTTAACAGGGCACCCAAGATGCAAACTGTGAGTACGCTGCAAGCATTGGCAAGCATGCATATATAATTACCCATGGTGAAACTGGATTATCTTTTAGGCGCCATGTGAGCACCCTTGTCTCATCCTGGTAATTTGGGGGGTGGCAACTCCAGTTTCTGCGTGCGCTGAGGCCTCTTGTGCCGGAGTGATCCGAACGGCCCGGGACGTCGTAGCTGATGTGGGTGAAGAGGCAGCAAAGAAATCAGAAGGGTTGGTGGAACTTTCTAGAAAGAGGCCAAGCAATGGCGAGCGGGACTGCCATAGGTTAATGGCCAAGCGGTACCGTCTTTCGCTGCCAGTGTCCAAAAGCATTTTGGACGTCAAAGATCCTGCCTTGCAGCTGCCCATCATAAGTTTCAGAGAATGGATGACTTTTTTGTTGCAACAGAACTGCTTGCACATTTTGTGCGGGCTTGTTAAGGCTGATGCCCGGCGACAGTTTGCAATCTTGGAGGCCTTTTGGGAAAGATTTCGATGTCAACACCCGGATCATCCAATCTATGCCCGTGCCGCTCGTGGAGAAGTGACCTTGGGAAAGGTTGTCCCGCTATATCTTCATGGAGATGAAGGCCGCTCAAAGCGGCGGACAGCTTTCCTGATTTTGAATCTGCACAGCCCTTTGGGGCGTGGAATTCTGCCAGGCCTGCAAAAGCCGCTGCATGATCGGCGAGCCTACATCAAAATGCTCCCAAATTTTGTGGGACACTCCTACTGCAACCGCTTCCTGGTATCCGCGCTTCCAAAATCTGCATACTCTGGGAAGAATGCCTATGTGATGGATGTGCTGTTGAAGGCAGTGGCGGAGGAGCTCGACTTCATGGCCAACACCGGGGTCCAACATGGCGGAGAGCAATACCACGCTGTTTGCTTGGGAGTCGTGGGTGATTGGCCATGGCTTTGCAAAAGCGGCAACCTTGGCCGCAGCTTCATGAATGTCCAAAAACATCGGACGGCAAATGGAGATGCTGGAGGTGCTGGTGATGGTGGCGGGCGGCAAGGGCGGGAATGCGGTGGCATATGCCACCTTTGCTGCGCTGGACAGCCGCCCTTTCCATTCGAACAGATTGGGTCACGCCAGCCAACATGGCTAGGGTCTGTTTTCTCACAATGCCCCTTCTTGACCCGCAGCCCTTTCGAGATTTTGGACCATTGCCCAGGCAAGCTTGCAGCATTTTGGCACTTTGACTTTTTCCACACGTGGCATCTGGGAGTTGCAAAACACTACTTGAGTTCCATCCTGGCCGTGCTCAGTTCTTGGGAAAACGATGCCACAGTTGATGCCAGATTTGAATCTTTGAGCACGCAGTACCTTTCGTTTTGCAAACAGACAGGACGCCAAGCGCATTGCCAACGGATAACGAAAGAATTGCTGAATTGGGTCTCAACGACGCAATTTCCATCGGGAAGCTGGCATAAGGGGGATTTGTCAACATCCCTCATGGCGTGGATTGAAGCAAAGTTTGTTTCGGAGCAGTGGCAAGATGAAACACTGCGCATAGCTGGAGAAGCTGCTCAATCCATCAATGAATGCATCCGTATGATGTATTCTGGTCCGGCCTGGCTTTCGCCCACTGATGCCCGTCAGATCGGCGAACTTGGACTCCGCTTTCTTCGGAGGTACAGCAAACTTGCAATCATGGCCAATCGGCAGGGGAAAAGGTTTTGGCTGGTAATGCCAAAGGCACACAGCTTACACCACATTGTCTTGAGCTTGGTGCAGGACTCTCAGAGAGGGTTCTGCTTGAACCCACTTTGCACAAGCGTGCAACAAGATGAAGATTTCATAGGACGTGGCAGCAGATTAAGCCGCCACGTCAGTTCTGTACAATGTGCGCAGCGAGTGGTAGACAGATATCTTCAAAGTGCATATTCCAAGTTCATGGAAAGCGGATACCTGGTTGCTGCTAGCAGCTAATGGGACACCATGGCCGCACCAGGATGTTGATGTATATGATTATATGATATGTATATGTAATATTATGTAATATGATCCACAGATTTTCAACCAGATTATTTTTTTCTCAGCCAGGTTCCCCTCAGCTCTTGGCAGAAGGATTTGCCCAGGAAGACTGTGGTGTAGAGCCACACTTTGCATCAGCCGGGCAGGCGGTGGAAAAAACAGGAAATCACAAACCCTGGGTTTGTGTTGGAAACCCTGGTTATTTTTCAGACCCTGCGTTTTTTGCGGGTCCGGAGTTTCAAGGTATATATATATGTATTATACACATAATATATGAGTTGGTGAATATGTAATTCTTGTATATGTTTGTATAGATGAGTTGGCGCAGGCTTGATTTCTTTTATACAAACATGATTAGCACATGTTCCTCTTCGGGTGGGAGATGAAAATCAACAAAAACAGGAGTCAGGCGGCGGTCGATCTACCACTGCAGCCGGTGATGCAGGTAATAACGATTGATTTCTGCGCCGAAGACAGACCAAGGTTGGAAATGCGACATTTGATCTATATAATGTGAAACTTGTGAAACTTCAAAATTTCCCATATTCAGTTCAGTCAAGCAATTCGTATGTTATGAACCTACTCTATGAGAATAAAAGGAATCATACTTGGGATTGGGACAGCTTAAGCAAGGCAGGTGTGTATGTGTGTGCCTATGAAGCCTCTAGCCCCTTGACCGGGATATTTCTCCGTTCGGAAGCATCCTGTGACATGGTTAGTTGAGATGTCCCATACGGATGATATGGTGTCAACATGTTATTTTGTAAAAATAATATACCCTCTGGTGAACTAACATAGCAATTGAAAATGGCCATTTATAGTGGATTTTCCCATTAAAAATGGTGATGTTCCATTGCTATGTTAGTTCACCAGAGGGTAATTAATATAGGTGTACATTGTATTTTTGTATACATGTTGAATTATTGAATTTAAGCACATAAGCACATACTTGATCTATCACTATTCATTGGGATGACCATCAGTGCGTCAAAATGGAAATTCCAAGTTCTATTACCTTGCCAAGCATGTGCAACTGCAACATCTCAAGGCTTACCCCCTCAGTTTTACTCGTTTATTCAACATCATTAATATTCAATGATCATGGGTTTATAGCCCTGGTTTGGTTGGAGACACCTCACCTTTTTTATCACAACATGTTCCCCATTTGGTTTAGGCATTGATCAGTTGTCTACTGAGGTGGATGATATTGAGGACTTCTTTGATGCTTGGAGCGATGGTCAAAAGTCTGATTTACAATCTCTGGAGTGAGCGTTCAATGTCTTTACTTTAATTTAAATAAAACACATAGAATCACATACACCTCCACAAATATCTGCTGTATACATATATAATATTATATATTATACATGATTGTATATGTACAATATAGCAATCACATTTAAATTGTATTCAGTATTTATTTTTCTGCAAAAAACTCATCCGATTTGAGTCGATTTTTCAGGGGACGGAATGGGATGAATTACTGGTGCGTTTTACGTAGGGAATGGATGGGTTGCTGGGGGTTGCTGGGATTATGAAATTGATAGATATTGATAGTTAGCCAGTGGATCATCCCGAAAATTCCCTACGTAAAACGCACAAGTAAGAATAGATTTCACAAACCCAAAACACGCGATGACAGGGATGAGTTCTGTTTTTCATCAAGAAAATGTGAGACCTGCCAGTGAGGTCGTTCCAACTTGACCACATAGAATTGCTTGGAAGCTTTGATGGTTGGCTTTATACCAGCCAATTCTCGAGCTGTATATTCATGGCTTACATCCACAGAGCTGTCTCCATGCGGTTAAGTTCACAAAAGCCCGGAAATTGGCCACGGCCAAAGCTCTATTTCTGTTTGATTTACATCCCTGGAACATTTTAGGCGCTGTTAAAAAAAGAAAAGTACTGTTGTAAGTCTCACTTGGTTTCGTTTTGTATTTAGTGATTAGCACCTGCTCAATGATTCCTTTCTCATAGCACCAGATACTTGTAGCACGCAACACGTATGTACAACTAGTGTTGTTGGCGATTCGATCGTTTTGAAAGCACAAAAGTGTTCCAATACGTGACTACCCTCTGGTAAACTAACATAGCTATTGAAAATGGCCATAGAAATAGTGGATTTTCCCATGAAAAATGGTGATTTTCCATAGTTACGTAAACGTTTGCCAGAGGGTATTTCATGCTGAGTCAACCACCAAGGGAGAGCCCCTCCAAGAGACCGGCGACTTAGTGACTTAGTGGTGTATAAACCCATGCGCAAAGCATAAAGCCTTACGGTCAAATCTCAATTTCTTGATGGTTGGCTAAATATCATGAAATCAGCACAATACAATTCAATACAATCATTAAAACTTCCACAAAATCCTGAAAACACCTTAAAATTCCCATTAAAAACACCGTCAAATCCTATAAATTCTCATAAGATCCTTCTGAAGCCTCATCAAATCCCACAAAAGCCTAAATCACCATATAAAATCTCATGAAATCCCATATAAAATGCCTCAAAATCACCAAAAAAAAACATCACCTTCACCGGTCACGATGAAATCTTCAGATCAGGATATGACGGCTCGCCCAGCGCCGCGCGGACTACCACCTGGCTCAGCGAGTCCGGGAGGCTCCTCCAAGTTGCTGAAGCGGCTTCGGGGGTAATGCTGACCTGGAGGAAGGCCATGATCCAGTAAAAAATTGGGAGATTCAATGGGTTTAAGGGAACATTTTTAACCGGAACGCCCCATATTTAATGGGCAAATCGATGGTTTCCGGTTTCGATTTTACCTTACACCAATCCATTGAGAGTTTGATGGGATTTAACATGATTTAACTTGACATCAGACCTTGATTTAATGGGAATCGAGGAAGACTGAGTTTGATGGAATTTAACTTTACACATTAGACCTTGATTTTTGATGGGTTTTTTTCGCAACAAGCAACCTTGAAGGTCAGCTGACAACATTATGTTTGATTGGTTGTTGCTGGAATGCGTTTTTCCTTGGGAGTTTAGACTACCATTATAATGGTCAATCACTGTTTTGATGGTCTTGAGAGCCAAGGCAATCGATTAATTTGTGAAGTCCTAACTTTGTATGTGTTATTTAGATATCTATTAGACTCTATGAGGGGGTTGCGATAGATGATCAAATTGGATGTGTATGTGGGTCAGCCGTTGTTCAAGATATGTGAGCGCTAAACCTATGGTGTTCCCATCCCCTCCATATTCAACACCCAGAAATCGTGGTGGAGAGGAAGGAGACCCACTTGAGACCACACAACGGGGATGTTTAATGTCAGGGAGGTGAGTAAATGAGACAGTTGGGTAGCAAACCCCAGAGGACAGAGAGATTGGCCATTTTTGGCAGTTCTTTTGCTATGCCCTGTTTTTTTTGTGCCGAATGACTTGACCCACAAGCACATCATACCTGGTCGTAGAAAGCAGCTTGGTGGTTTCAGAAGACTTCGAATACTGACTCTGGTATGTGGTTTGGAACATTAACTTTATTTTTCCATATATAATTATAATATATATATATATATTAGGAATGTCATCATCCCGACTGACTTTCACTCCATCATTTTTCAGAGGGGTAGGCTCAACCACCAACCAGGACTGATTCATCATTTCGGTGCTCATCGCATCTAACAAACATCTGGATACCACCAAGCATTGCACGCTCCAAAGATCGGAGCAGCTAATGAGGCGCAAGGGGCGGCCCCTTTTAGGCCCGCCAGTAGGTATCAAGTCTCGTAGTCGATGTGCCTGACATCACAGAGATGCCGGTCATCAGATGTCATCGGTCATTGCTTGAAAAAGTGCCGTTGGCGCGGGGTTGTTTTTTGGGGGGCTCAAAGGAGGGCATGTATCAATGGTTTCCGACTTGATATTGAAAAATATGTGGAAAATAATGAAACCATGTTCAAAAATGGACGGAAAACCATAACTCCAAATAGTGATAATCCGTGTCATTTCCATTATATTGATATGGTGCATCTGTCGTTCAAGATTTCATTTCCATCCCCCAAAACTACTAGAGCCACTTCCTCAGGTGCAGAGAATGATGAAGATTGCAATGGGCATACCATGTTTTTTTTCATTGGATCTTCCTAGTGGCTTTACCACACCACAGGTGGGGTTGAATGTGTATACCCTGACATTCCAAACACCATTGATTGGTTGTTGCTGGAACCATCATTGTTTTACCGAGGGATTTTAGATGGATTTTAGATTGCCAAGAAGGGTCAGCCATTGTTTTGATATGTTTTGATTGTCTTGGAAGCCAGGGATATACCTATGTATGTATATATGTATATATAGCTGGTTTGTGGTTTGGAACATTTTTTCCATATATTGGGAATAGTCATCCCAACTGACTAATATTTTTCAGAGGGGTTGAAACCACCCTGATTGGATCTACCACTAAAGGATTCTGCCACTGATGAACATCTGCATACAAATAACTTTCAAAATTCCATCTGATTCTTCATGTTCAAAAAAACAACTGGGCAAATTTGATCACGACCGACCCCTGTTTTCCCGACGCCTGGGAATTATATGGTTTATATATGGGGAATCATCCCCAAATGGCCGCAAGATTCAGGTTAGTGAAATATTCTAAGTTACCCAGATGGATCATGGCACATATGTCACATATGTATTGGATCTGTGGCTACTCTCTACATGACACAAAGAGTGACCAAAATCTGTGTTAATGAGTGAGTATATTGGGTTGTGCTACCTGGTTTCCTGGAGATTATTATGACCCGCTCTAGGAATCCCCATCAATGTATCCCAGAATCAACCAGTCAGTGTATCCAAGAATTGATTTAAAGGGGAAACAAATTGCAGGAAACTCATACATGTATATGTGTATGTGTATATAGATATATATGGTCAATCTATATATATATATAGATAGAGTGAGATAGATATGTAGGAGTTAAAGCTGACATTTTCTGTAGATTTGATTTACCCCAGACATCGATATGTCAGCAATCTGATTGCTTGTTCCCATAATTGATTGCTTAAATATTCAGATTGCGTAACAACTAACGGTGCTGCGGTTTCCTAACTTTCTGACATTTTCCAAATATCCAGGTATATATGATGGTATATCCTAATATATCCTATATGGTGTTTGGCAATCATGTATCCTATGTTTATCATGGAAAGAACACATCCAATCCTCAAATCTTTGGAAGTGACTTAGATGGCATTCCTGGAAACACACTCTGCTCTATCACAAGCCGAATCCCGCATAACAAACCACCCCCGCATTTGGGTTATTCCAAAAAGCCCCATGTTGGTTCAGGGTGGGGCCCCCAACATAGCGTGAACCGTTGGTTTATAAGTGGCTTAACTTAACAATGGTTTATGTTAGATATAACTATAGTTAATGGTGATTATTTCATGGTTTATACACCAACGTTCACATCACTGGGGGGCCCCATGTTGGTTGAATCAACAGCAATTTCTGGCCATGGGCCACTGTTCGTTGAATCCCCTGAAACGTATCTACAGTGTAGACTAACCCGGCCTGGTAAACGTTTGAACATAACGAACCGGAAAGATCCACGATTTTTAATGGGAAAATCCACTATTTCGACTGGGCCATGTTCAATAGCTACAGTATGTTTGTTTACCAGAGGGTATATATCCCAGATGCTCGATGTATGGTATATTTAGCTACATTTGGGTGATTTTCAGGGTAAATGTTGGTAAATATTCCATACATGGAGCATATGGGTATATATATATATATATGTGTATTCCCATATAGAGTTGGTGCAGTCCCAAAATATCGATTCATGAACTGTTATATTCACAGAACTATTCAACAATAATTATTGTTGGTTGAATCCCCATCGTATCCCTCAAAAATATCCAATACCCTCTGGTAAACTAACATAGCTATTGAAAATGGTCATTTATAGTGAGTTTTCCCATTAAAAGTGGTGATTTTCCATAGTTATGTTATTTTACCAGAGGGTATTTAGAGATGATGTTTCAACTGTTTCACAGGCAAAATATGCCTTGGAACCGTGGCAGAAGCCAGGGGAAGAGTCTTCAATCCACCCGTCGGGCCCTACTTGGGGGACCAGGCGTCAAGAGACATCCAACCAACTGGATGTGTAGAAACCAGGTTTTTTAATGGGATGGGAATATCAAATGGTGAGTTCAATGGGATTTCAGGGGTGTCATGGGATTTTATGCTGATTATTGGGGATTTAATGGTATATTAGTATGGAATGTTGATAATTAATGGGATTTAACCTCTGGTTATGACTAACATAGCCATGGTATAGATGGCCCATAGAAATAGATGGTTTACCGTTCTTAAAAATATGGTGATTTTCCATGGTGAACTGTTAAATAACCAGATGGTAATATCTAGGTTCACCCGCCAAATTTATTTTTTTGCAGGGTATCTAAGATTGGGAATGTGTTGATGGGTTAGCATAGGGATATATAGGAACTTATACTACCTATATCTACCTATAAGTCATAGTAGGCTTATGAGATTGGATATATCATAATAGTATATCATTATATCCAATCATAATATACCTATATATCTCATTATATATTATACTACTATGGCTTATACATAAAAATGATTGGAGATTATGATAAGCCATAGTAGGGAAACCATCTGAAAAACCAAGTATATATAATGAGATGGGATAGTGGTATTTTTAATGGCACATGTGTCAAATCCACGCAGATAGAAGGAAACAATCCAGTTGTAAACCATATCACATCATCTCACTGTTAATTGTATGCCATACCTTTGAACCTTTTAATGATAAATAATCCCAATTTCTCGGCAGCCACCCCGATGTTGCTTGATGATCTCTTTTTCTCAATCACCCAACCTTTTTGGGAACCGAAAAAAAAATCGATCATTGCAATGATATTATGATTTGGTATGATAATACATAATGATGTTGTAGTTCAGTGTTTGGCCACTTCCGCCTAATGGTCCTTGGATTCTTGAACCGGCTGCATTCAGCGAGCGGTGTCGGCTGTGGGGCATCGTTTCGCCGAAGACCTGAAGACACTGAGTTGGGATGTTTGTATCGCATTGGTTTCTAATTACCCTCTGGTAAACATGCAAAAAACTATGGACAATCACAATTTTTAATGGGAAAACTCACTATACATGGCCATTTTCAATAGCTATGTTAGTTTACCAGAGGGTATGTCTGCCAACCAGAACAGCATTATTAATATATATATATATACACACATTGTTTATATGAATACACATGTTCCATGCCTGGAAAAAACAAAGAAAAACAAAGAGAGAGAGAGAGAGAGATGTAGAAGAAGATATGACTGAGAGAAAAAACATATAGGACATTATAGGGCACTGTTCCGGTTCGTGGTTCGTGCTGCTTCAGGTCTTACGCCTGAGATAAAATCACAGGATCACTAGGGAGTGAGAGGAAAACACCTAGGGGGTGCCATGAAACTGCTTGGGGTGCAGGAAAGGGCTGGGAAAATCATGGTTAATATGGATTATGAGTACTTAAATGTATATACTTAAAAATAGTTATTGATCAATGGGAATTTCAGGATCCTAAAATGGAGGTACTGTACCATATAAGGCCATATGAATTGTGGGGATATTCCCTTACATAGGCCTCAAAAATAGGCCTTATATATGGTAGGTACCTCCAATCAGTTGGTTCCTGAGATGGACAGTGATAAATCAATCAGTGTATCACAGACTGGGCTATTATTAGTTAATTATATAAGTACCTTAATAATAGCTAATTGATTGTTATTCATGGCTATGAATTGTGATTCATTGGTATAAAAAAACTGGGGACACAAACCTCCATTCCCATGGGACCCCGAAAAGGCTGTGGTGATCGAAACCTAACCCCAAGCCGTACCCACCGGCTATGGAGCTGATTACCAGAGGGGTACCATAGAATTTCATGACATATCATCTATCAGAATCTATCAGAATCTATCATATATGATCTGTGTGTTTATAATTATATATATACACTGTATATATATATATATTGCTTACTGGTGCTTAGCAGGGAATGAGGGAATGATCCATAATCACTAGTAATAATCATCCCATTCCCCCCATTCCCATCCATTCCCTACTAAGCACCACTAAGATTGTATATAGGATAGACATTGTGAAAATAGGAGATTGCAATCAGTTCTATCTCAGTCATGGACTGGTGAGATGGACCCAGCTCAAACTCGGTTGGCCACCCCAAATTTATAGGCTTACATACAAAAGACTGATGGGAAAATCACCATTTTGAATAGGTAAATCAAGTATTTCCATGGGGTATTTTCAATAGCTATGTAACAGTCATTACCAGAGGGTATACCATCATATATCCCAATAAATCCCAATAAATCCCAATAAATCCCATTAAATCCCATTAAATCCCATTGACTGACTATCCACTATTCAATAGAGGTTTGTCTGCAGAGTGCCTCCAAATCCGATGGTCAGTTATCATGTGTCCAACATGTTTAATCGCCGAACATGTATTGTAAATTTCCATTTGTTTGGACAAATAGGTAAAATAGGTAAGTTTGCAATAGGTAAGTTAATCCACTGCTATTTGTTTGTATTAATCCACTGCTATTTGTTAAAATCGATAAGTTTGCAAATTTATCTGGTTAGAGTCCATCATGCAGCTAGCTAGTCCGATGATTTTACCAGTTAAATCTGTTGCTGAAATTGCTGAAATCACAGATGTGCCGTGAATTCGTACAGATTTCGTGTCATTGAATCAGTTATGTAAATCATATCGAATAATCTTACCCTACTTGGTGGCTCATCCCACTTAGTAAGTGGGTTATAACCCCAGTTATAAGTGGATTAACTCTACTTATCCCATTTATAACTGGGGTTATAACCCACTTACTAAGTGAGATGAGCCACCAAGTAGGGTACACTAACATACATGTGGAAAACCCATGGGAAAACCCTATGAAAACAATCTACAAACAGTGGATGTTCCGCATCTATGTTGGTTTAGTGGAGGGTAAATCATGGATATTCATAGATGATGAAACATATGAGATCATATGAGAATACACCTGCTCTCATAGTAATTCCTATGAATCAACATTCAATCATAGAATTGGATTATGGGAAATTTTACAGGAAAGCCCTATATTTGATGGTAAAAACCATGGTTTCCTGAAAATTTTCCCTTAAACCAATCCAGTGATTCAAGTCCCATTTCATCACCATCAAACGACCATAAACTCGCCATTTTCCTATATGAAAAATCATGGGAGATTGGACAATGTCATTTCGCCATGGGAGGCTTTGCGGCTCCGCCGAGCTTTTTGGTGAGCTCTACCAAGGTGGGAATATATATATATATATGGGTAAATTATAACGACCTCACTGATCTCCCTCACTGGTAATTATAGTTAGTAAGGGAAATCATCCCCAAATGGGCTTAGTTCAGGTTAGTGAAATATTATAATTTATCCAGATATATACATGTCTAATATATATATATATAACCAAAAAACAAATGGTGTCATTCCTCTTCAACAGATTTCTATAGATTCGATGTTTGATATGTTTTCCCCAGTGATTTCAACAACGAGCTGACTTAGCTACGCTTCGCTCGTCGCAGGACGAGGCATCTCCCCCCAAAGAACACACGGACCTCTACGCGCGGGCGCTGCAGAAGAAGCGGGTGAAGCATTGCCACTGGGGCCATGGCGGCGAGTGGCCAGATAAAAAGAACTTGGGACATATGGGGAATTGATGTACCCTCTGGTTATGTCAAAATAGCTATTGAAAATGGTGATTTATAATGGATTTACCCATGAAAAATGGTGATTTTCCATAGTTATGTTACTTTACCAGAGGGTATAGTATATGAACATGGATCATGGGAAATATGTTTTTTCATTAGTATATGATGTATATGTTGATATATTATCGATGTTATCGATATTCCATTGATGTATGACTACTGTAATATATTTGTATGTGTATTATATGAATATTGTGACATTGATGAATTGGGACATGATTGATGCAATATCGAAATATATATATTTATATATATAAGATTTCCCTCTCTCTCTCTCTGTATGATGATCCAGCGGAATTCAATGGTCAGTTGCGGGTTAGATCATGATCCCATCGCAACATGAGGATCTGAGTGTGATTTGATGGGTCGGTCCCTGTTGGTCACATGAGTGACATGATGAGCAACAATGAACCAGCTGCCCAGCTGGACAATGGTTATGGGGGTCCCATGGTTGAAGTGTCACCAGAATTTGAGAAAAACTGTACTCAATTTCGGTTTCAAATGCCCTGCAAAGCATGAACCAACATGATTTTGACATGTTTTGGTTCGAGCAAAATTCAACATGATTTGCTATCATTGTTTGTTCATACATGTTAACATTTACTCGGGTTTGGTGCAACTGCGAAACCCCGATCACCTCCCAAGAAAGAGAACAGCACCTGTGTTGCTCCTGACCACAAACCCTGTGTTGCTCCTGACCAAAATGAACATGGTTTATCATGGAGTAATTATCATAATGTTCATTCTTTCTCATCATGTTCCATGTTTTTATACATGTTTTCCATGGAACCTTCACATTCTGCCCGCACATTTCCGTGACAATCAGTGGCTTCCCACCAGAAAAAAAAACACACCAGCCATATCTACCAACCTAGGTACATATCTCCGGCGGAACTTCGGACCGCACGGCTTTGGCATGTCAGGCGGGAACAGGCTGACAGATGGCTGGATCATTTGCCACAATGTAGATACAAGGTTGGCCCCCTTAGTGATGTTTGTTGGTGTATCAACCCCCTTTTAGCATCTTTTAGCTATACTAATAATTGCCATAAAGCCTAGTGAAATTGGAGTTATAAATACCCCATGGGCCCATGCAAATTGAGCTATCTCTTTGGGTCCCACCGGCCTGGGGCTCCAGCCATGACTGGAGATGCATGGAGCAATGACCAGACTCTTTTCGGGTTTTGGCCAGAATGTTTTTTTTTTCTCATGACACATTAGGATTTGACCAGCCAAAAAAATGCGGATATGAGGATTTGTCTCAAAATGCGATAGACAAACTCATGGCAAGGACTTAGTGGACTTAGTGATGATATATGTTTTTAATTCCATATTGTGAGACAGCCCATTTTGTGACATAGCATAATTATGTTCATCCATTTTTCATTGCCATGTTTGCTTGGAGGGCAGGATGGGAAATGATCAGATTCCTCTGGATCAGAAAGATCCCATTGGTTGGTTGATTAATAGAGGGGTTTGAAGAACCCCCAATAAAACAACAGGTAACTGATGATAGATGCGATTAACCAGCTCCCGGCCCAAACCTATTTTTACCAAAAGGACATTAATATACATTAATGATAGTGGTTAATCATAATCGTGATTGTTCCAACTGGAAACAATGAAGGTGGGGCATCCCTCGTTTTCAAACACAGCCAGCAAACTACTAGCGTGTTCCTACGACAGTTTGGTGTGCTGAGACGGTACTCTTGTATGCTAGGTCTCAAGTTGGATGCCTGAAACATACATGGCTTTGTCTAAAAACATGGTGCCTGTAAATCCATGGGTTTATCATAATTTTCCCAATATACTCCATTTTCAGACAGACCCACATGTTGATTGATCGGGGTAATTCAAATGGGACATGCTCTCCACATCTCTCAACAGCCAATTTTGGGGAACATGAGAGCATTCAACCACCGGATTAAGGGGTGTACCCGGCATCTCACGCGCATCTTAGATAAGCTCTGAGCATTTCAGATGGAGGGACTTTTCATGGTAGGTTGATGTAGGTTGTAGGTTCATCATGGTTCATCTAATATCACTGATATATAACTTAGACTGACATATGTTGATACTGCTATGCCGCATATGACAATCTCCTTCTGGTCCCTGGTAGACAGTGGAATAGCATGTGGCAAGCAACAACATGCCACAAGGAAGCACATAGAAACACATGGCAACATCATATTGGCACAATCACACAAAACCAACTATTATAACAACAATAATAATAAATATAATAATAATAAATTATATATATAATATAGATATCCCTGACCTTCCAACCACAAGGTTTAACATTGTGGTTAGTCTAACCCCATGTCTTTACTTAACCCCATCATATCACTGCCTATCACCGGCCTTCCAAAGGGGTTCCAAAAAGTTCCCTTCAGCTTGCCATGACGCACACGCTCCACAAAAAAGGTAGCGCGCAAAGTGTCACACCAGATCTTCGATGGTTGCTATATATATATAATAGATATCAGTGAAATGATGGGGTTAAGTAAAGACATATGGTTAGACTAACCACAATGTCAAACCATCATTTGAGTCTTACCCCCCAGTTTTTTTAATGGTGTCCATGGGTTTTGCACGGTCTTTTCACGCACTTTTCACACTTCAAAATGGACCAAACAAATCGATGTGACCTCTTGGCAGATGCGTGTTTTTCATGTTTTTCCTTTTATACTGGCTTTCCACCCCCTCTTCATAGCAATACTTCTGCCCAAACTGCATTGGGACTGAGCCAACACGGTTGTATAATCCACTCTCTGGACGTGAAACAGTTTGTGGCTAGATAGAACTGATTTTCTGCAGTCATCCAAAGAAAAGGTCTAACGGTGTGGTTAGTAACTCCACAGTTAAACGTTGTGGAGGAAGGTCAGGGTATTATAGATATTTGTAGATATTATAGATATTATAGAAATTCATAGATATGGGAACAGACTTCCGAAGTTAGAAACATCATAGAAAACCAGTAGAAACAATGTAGAACCCCATAATATTGGGATGTTTCTAGTGGGGTTACATGGATAGATAGATCGAAATGTCGAATCAACCGCAGGCGGTTGGACAGAGAAATGCGTTGCTTGGTTACACGCACGAGGTGCGGCGGTTACGGGACGGACCGGAGTCCGGAAGCGCTGGGAGAAATCCATGGAGAAAGTGCTGGGTAAACCCAATGGATGATGATTTTGGCCATTTTTCATAGGGAAAATCATGGGATCATCATGAAATATCATGGGATATAGTAGGATTTTCTTGGTATGAACATCAAATATAATGCGAGAAAAAAACGATAGTCGTAGGATTTTCTTGGGATGAACATCAAATATCATGCGAGAAAAATATCGAGAAAAAGTAGGATTTTCTGAGGGGATTTTCTATGGGTAATATGGGATCATCATGGGATAATGCATGGATGATGTGATGACTATATGCCATGGACCATCAACAATACCCTCTGGTAAACTAACATAGTGGATTTACCATGATTTACCCATTAAAAAATATGATTTTCCATAGTTACGTAAACGTTTACCAGGCCGGGTATACCCCTAGAACTGGGATGATGTAGATCATGACCCCAGAAAAATGGTTGGTGAATGGGATGGTGATGGCACTGAGTATTTAACTGTATGAGCCACCAAAATTATTCGTACATAGTTTATTGATGCTTATTGATGTTTATTCAGTATCAACCAACAACTTATCATGGGGATACCGGGATACGTATCAGCCAAACAGTAGAATGATATTGGATACTCCTTCTTGATTGCATACCCCTGATTGATGGCTCAGAATTGAACCATCAAACAATTGGAATGTAACTGGTTGTAATCAATTTGAGCCAGGCCAAATTCGCATTCAACCAACGAAACTATGAACAAAACATGATTCAAACAATAGAAGAACAAAACATGATTCAAACAATAGATATTGGGGGCTCACTACGGTTTAACTAATTATTGGTGGCATGTAAGATGTCAAAGGTAGTGATTTAATTTATTCACTAAAACTTGGTTGCGCGCAAGGATGGCTATTTGCACACATTGTCACATAGGTCGCGAAGAACAAACACATCGATCCACGATTTTTTCCGATCCACGAGACAGATCGAGACAAGTCATGTTGAACGTACCATCCCCAACCTTGGATGGCTAGAAACTAATCCCAACGAATCTTTACCCAAGCTGGTTATGACATTCACAGGGCTAGCCATGGTTAAGTCATGGCCCTAATCGAAATAGATGGTTTACCGTTCTTAATAGCATGGTGATTTTCCATAGTCTTGCTATAAATGGGAATATCTTTAATTATTTGCAGGGTATCTAAGATTGGCAATGGTATGAACCATGCAATATATGCAATTCTTCCCACTTTCGACCCAAAATCATTTCATACGACGGCTTGACCATGACCTGGATGACCCGATAGTAACTGGATAGTAACTGGATGATGAACCTTGTAGTCTCCAGGATCCCAGGGGAGATAAAAAGAACCCTGATTTTCTACAAAGGTGTTAGTTACAATGCAGTTACTAAGTTCAGGGATCATCATATATCAGTAAATCATAATATCACTACATCATACACATATCAGTATCATCATATCAGCTCATGGATTCCTATACTGGATTTACTCCAGTCTTTTTCTATATAGGATATATATATATATATTTGTATGTAGATAGGTATGGGATATCATAAACATTTGCCTGAACGCCATCCACCCCATCATCTCACAGGCTTTGGACGAACTGACAGCTGAATTTTCAGCGCTGGGCCCGGGCCCGGCGGCGCCAGGACCAAATCGGTCTGTATCCTTCAAGTCTGCTGAATGCATCAAAGATCCAAAATCTGGCTAAAGCTCTATAGTATCGTGACCTCGTGTCGCGACCGAAGCCTGGAATAGCGGTTAGGGGAAATCATCCCAAATGGGCTTATCTCAGGTGGAATATCAGTACCCTACAACATGCAATAGGTTCGCTATCCAAAGACTTCCAGGAAAATGAGTGAATCTAAAAGCGTTGTCCTGCTTGTGTCAGCTGGCAACACACCAATATCTTGAGAATGTCAAGCACCAAATCAGAGTGGATCTGGAAGTGATCTGGGACCCCTGGGACCTCTGGGAGGCAAGCATGGCCCGGGTCCGACTTCCAGGGGAAAATCAAAAAAACGTGCGCCTGTGATGCAGAAGGATTCGAAATTCAAAGATTTGTAGCGGCTGCAACGGGGTGTAGCCAAAACGCGCGTTTGCTTCGCGATTGGGGGTGGGAAAAAAACCAGCGATTGTGGTTTAGGTGCACACCCTTTCGGTGAGAATTCGTCCAAATGCTGGATATTATTTCTGGGTAAATTATATATAGTGACCTCACTGTGACCTCACTGTGACCTCACTGTGACCTCACTGTGACCTCACTGTGACCTCACTGTGACCTCACTGGAATCATGGTTAGAAGGGGTAATTATCCCAATAAAGCCTTATTTCAGGTTGGTGAATTATCATAAATTTGCCCAGATTACTTGCACTGGTAGTTGTCAGCAATGGGGTTTAGCTAACCATGTTGTGATAAACCCGATAAACCCCAACTGGGGATGATTTATTATTATTGGCATTCCCAAAATTTTGATCATAAAAATGCCGTATAAAGAAGCAATAGAAACCAACTTGAAACCCATCGAAATCACATTTCCAACTTTTGATGGTAAAACCATCAAGCCCAGCTTTTTTTCACTGTTTTTTGCACCCCAGGTCTATCAACTTACATCCGACCCCTGAGAACAAACATGGAAAAGCATTGAACCTGGCCTGGCATTGGCACATGCTGATTCCAATGTTGATTAATGGGTATATATTAGGATATAGAGCCAACTTAGATATGCTTAGAAAATGGTGGTGGCATTTAACTAAACTAGAAAACATCATTGATTTCACGAGTGATATTAGCAAAAGGCTGAAAATGGTAGATCTTTGGGGGGTAGCATATATACATAATCACTATATTTTTATATGTTTAGTATATCTGTGTGTTTTTTATTTACAAAGCGGGGTTTCAAATCAACCTTGAGGATTCATTTCATTTGCGAGCAGATCCCAAGGGCTGCCAGCCCGACTCCTCCACTCATAGTATATATATATATGTATATTACAGTAGACATATGTTATGTGAAAAATGATGGATTTTTTTCAAAATATGGTATCATGACTTAATTGAAATATCAAGGAATAAAGAGATAGATAGATAGATTCATCGATAGAAAACTAGCTTGATATATATATATATAATTTTATATAGTCAGGCTCTTCAAAGTGACCCCTTTGAGGTGGTTAAGTGGCCCTTTTTGGGGTTAGGTGACCTCGAATTGGTGGTTGAAAAGGCCACTTTGAAGAACCAGGATATGTTTTTTTTGGATATTCATGGGATAATAATATATAATAATGACATATGAAAGGCATATAATAATGACATATATATATATATACCCTCTGGTTATTCAAAATAGCCATGGACAATGGCCCATTTATAGATTATTTACCTATTACAAATGGTGATTTTCCATACTTACCTTAGTTTACTGGAGGGTATATACGTATATGTATATTCTTCGTTATTATTTTTGTTGGTACCAACGATTGCAGGTACTGCTCAGGACATCGCCTTTGCCGATGCACCCGATGATCAGGTGCCACCGTGTGCCACCGCTGCCGCCTTTGCCGATGCGACTGTTTGGGGCGTTCGGATCTGATGAAAACAAACGTTTAAGACGCTTGGCCAGCAAAACTAGAGAAATTCCACATGGATTTAACCATGAAAATTTTGCAGAAACAGCCAAAAGTAAATGATATTTTTCAACTGCGTGTTTTTTGGTTTTAAACTTTAAACCACTAGGTTTATAATCAAATTGCCGATGATCAAGGTCACCTTAAATTCATGGAGCACGATGACAAAGTCGTTTACTTGAACTGGTTGGTGGTTTGGAAATGTGGATTAACTATGGTTTATGGTAGATATAACTATAGTTAATGGGGATTATAATGGTTTATAAATTTATAAACCAACAAACACTGGTTGGTGCTTTGGAACCATGGAATTTGATGACTTTCCATATATTGGGAAGTTCATAATCCCAACTGACTACTTAATATTTTTCAGAGGGGTAGGTATACCACCAACCAGTTGAAGTTTCGCTTACCTTTTCATCTTGATTTGAAACACCCAATTGGATGTGGGTCAAAATGGAAGACCTAGGGGACCACAGATGTTAGTCTAGTTTAGTATTAACCATCCATAATTTTGGGGTACCTAATTTTGACCCATACCCAATTGATGAATTAAATTTGTGCTGTGTTGAGGATCTAGATCTATAGTGATGTCATCCTAAGTCTTCGTGAGATGGATTTCTGGTACTATGCCAACGTACTGCCCACTGATTGTGATGTTTGTTGTGATGTTTGGTTTACAAAGCCAATTAAGTATGAATAGATCAACAACAAAAGTTTATTTACAAATGGTATACCGTGATATATTTAGAGTTGTTTTTGTTTGGGTTTGTGATGTATGAATATATCTATATGTATCTAACATAAACCCAAGTGAAATTGGATTTACCCTCTGGTGAACTAACATAGCAATGGAAAATCACCATTTTTTAATGGGAAAATCCACTATAAATGGCCATTTTCCATTGCTATGTTAGTTCACCAGAGGGTATAAAGCAACTTAGCAAAAAAAAACTGGGGCACCGCCTTGCGCAACGTGGACAGGTTGATCTCCATGTGCGCAACGTTGACGTTTGGCTGGATGCACAGCACACAAGCCCAAGCATAGTCTGAGAAACGGATTTGAACATAGGCTACCCTCTGGTAATTTAACATAGCTATGGAAAATCACTATTTTTTATGGGAAAACCCACTATAAATGGCAATTTTCAATAGCTATGTTAAATTACCAGAGGGTAGCTCAAAAATCCAGTGCTTAATCACTGGTTAATCACTGGCGAAAATCATCATGACCCCGTTGAAATGGTTTTGAACAAGGGGTATGCCCAAGTTTTCTACAAACCCAAATCCGGGATGATTGTTTCGTTGCAAATCGTGATCTGCCTGGAGCAAGAACAGCAGCGGCCATTCGGTGACACCATAGTCTGGGCCACATGTTTGGGCTGATGTTTGCTGGTTTATCCATTTAACTATGGTAACTATAAAAACCATAGAAACATCCTAGCTAACCATAATCTAACCAATATAGCTAACCATAGAACCATGGTAACTATAGTTATATTCACCATAAAAACCCTAGCTAACCTTAAGTTATAAGTGAACTTCTCGGAAACCCTAACCAGCCATGGAAACGGAGTGGTATCGGTGCCAGGCTTGGGGGGATTTGGTGAAGGAGACTTCTTCACTGGGAATGTGCCTCCCTTGGGTCAACCTTGTTCAGATGGTATTTTTGTGGTGATTTCATGGGGATTAAACTGGGTCATTCTTAGTTAGATACTGCAGTACTGTAATATTTTTCTATCAATTGTGAATTGTATTTACTAACCAGCTAAAACATAGTTTTTTTTTAAGCAGGTATCTAAGATTCACCATGTAAGTAGGAATGTATCTGGGTAAATTATAGTGACTTCACGTTGTGACCGAGCCCTGGAGTCATTTTGTTTATGGGGAATCATCCCCGAGTGGCCTCAAGATTCAGGTTAGTGAACTATGATACTTTACCCAGACCATTGTTTAACTTTTACCACTAACTCGTATAGTACTAATATATCTGGGTAAATTTTAACCAGTAACTAATTATACATATTTTACCAGTAACTTAGTCAACTTAGTATTCATAGAATTGGATGATGGGAAAATTTACAGGAAAACCCTATATTTGATGGTAAAAACCGTGGTTTCCTGTAGATTTTCCCTTAAACCAATCCATTGAAGTATATAATTTGCCAGGATGTCTGAATCTGGATGGTTTGGATGAAAGAAGTTGGGAATCTTCCAGTGATTTTTGATTGGGATGCGCTTCAGAAAATGTCAACCGTCATTTTTTGGGGGAGGTTGAAACTACCCGGCCTGGTAAACATACAAAAAACGATGGAAAATCACCATGATTCATGGGAAAATTCACCATATTTATGGACCATTTTCAGTAGCGAACTGTTAAATTACCAGAGGGTAACCAGTTGGACTTTCTCAGGCACAGAATATGCGTTAGAGTTATGGGTCGTACATGGTGAGGTTTGCCATGTGCCCGGCAGATTCATAGAATCCCACTAGCAATGATTCAGAATGTCATTCCAAGCTAAAAGAATCCCATAGAATGCCTCTAGCAATTCATTCATAGAATCCCATAGAATCCCATCCATGGTACAACATTCCAAGCACTGTTCAGAAATCCCATGATGTCATCGTTTCACAATTTAATCCCATGATTTACCTTCACCATGTGACTCGAGCATCCTTCCTATTTTGATGGGAGCGTCATACTTGTATGATTTGGGGCATATGGTCATTTTTGTATATTTTTTCTCAACTTCTATGGTTGTGGCTGTTGGTGTTTTCTTTCACCCCTCAACAAACCCTTATTGGGGTTAGGTCAATTCCCATGATATAGTGGGAAAATAGGTGAGGATAGTGAGTACCAAACTCATGGTCATCAAGTCCATCAAGTCCATCAATATCCCGAGCATCCGCCTCCTGCATCCAGCTTTGGCTGTAGCTCGATTCATGGAACATGCAGTCGGGCAGTGAAATTCTTAAGCCATCCATGG